AAGACTTTCAAGCACACCCTTTGTGAGCTCTGTGTATGGATATTTAATACCCTGGGACATAGCTCTAGATTGTCCCAGAGATTTTGATAAAAATAACTCAAAACATTTTATAAATAACCAGTCCTTATTGCTGTGCTTATGCCTCAATATTTATTTCGGCCACATATATGACTACCATGATTTTGTGTTTCTTAACAGCAGGGTACAACTATTCACAACTTTTTGTTCCTGTATATTTCTTTAGTTACAGTGGCTGAATGGCCTCTGGACTTAACTATGCCAAACAGTCTGTGGACCACCTCTGAGGGATTTAAGTTCTCACGATCTTTTCATACTTGGTCACTGTCATGGATTGAACTGTGTCCCCCAAAAATATATGTCAACTTGGCGAGGCCATAATTCCCAGTATTGTGTGCTTGCCTTCTGTTTTGTGATCTGATGTAATTTTCCTATGCATTGTAAATCCTAATCTCTGCCTGAGGTTAATGAGGAGTTTCCCTGGGGTATGGCCTGCATCACCTTTTATCTTACAAGAGATAAAAGGAGAGAGAAGCAAGCAAAGAGAAAGGGACTCATACAACAAGGAAGAAGTGCCAGGAGCAGACTGCATCCTCTGGACCCAGGGTCCCTGTGCTGAGAAGCTCTTACACCACAGGAAGATTGATGACAAAGACCTTCTCCCACAGCCAACAGAGAGAGAAAGTCTTTCCGGGGAGCTGGTGTCCTGAATTTGAATTTAGCCTCCTAAACTGTGAGAGAAGAAATTTCTCTTTGTTAAAGTCATCCACTTGTGATATTTCTATTACAGCAGCCCTAGATAACTAAGACAGTCACTGAAAGAAAAAAAAAAAAAAAGAAGCTTATCAGAATAAGTGGAAACAATGTGGCTAATTGCTCACAAAACCCCAAAGTGCAAATTAATTTATTAAATACTCCAAGTAACTGATGACTCTGTATCTCCTAGTCTTTTTCTCCTAAACTCGACTTATATATGCAACTGTCTGCAAGATATCTCCACTTAGCTCTCTCACAGGCACCTTAAACTCATCTTGCCTCTCCTGCCCTGCCCTTCCTGAAAATGTTCCCTTTCTCAAAAAACAGCACCATCATCCTTTCAGTCACTCGAGTCAGAAATGTGAGAGTCATCCTTGATTTCCTTCTCCTTCTAATCCTCTACCCACATCCAATAAGTCTCCAAGAACTGCTAATTCTGCTTCCTATAAAGGTCTCAAAATTGTCTACTTCATGCCATTTTCACTGCCACCATCCTAGCCCAAGCCACTACCTAGACTGTTACAATAGCCTCTTACCTGGTCTCATTGGGTCTACTCTGGCCCCTCTCCAAGTAGTTCTAGACAAGGCAGCCAGAATCATCATGGTACTTACCTTAAAACTCCAGTTTCAAATGCCTTAGTACAGGCTACAAAGGACTCCTATGATCTGACTTCTCTAGTCTCATTTCTCTTCTTACATTCTATGATCTAGTCAAATGAGTTAAAGACAGCTAATTGTAACCCAGTGTCTCTTCTCCTCTTTCTCAGTAATTAAAACCTGATTTTTAGCTGTATATACGGACATGGAATAAGGATCTTGCCCTGTCTCCCTTGCAGCAGAAGTGCAGCCATGTGACTAAGTTCAGGTGAATGGGATGTAAGTCATGCCCTTAATGGGGGCGTGACCCTCTTCCTCCCTTTTCTTATGGTCAGAATGCGGAAAGTGATGGTTGGAGCAGTCATTTGGACTGCTAAGTGGAAGGTACCTGTGGAGGATCGCAGCACAAGACAGATGAAACCCAGGTCCCTGAGGACTGTGAAACCATCTTATCAATCCTGAACTGCCTACCTAGACTTTTACATAAAAAAGAAATAAACATTTTTTTGCTTAAACCACTGATACACTGGGTTTTCTGTCCCTTCAGGCAGTTTTATTTAACCCTAATACACCACATAGACTTTTTCGGGAGTCTCCAGTCTCTGTATATAGGACCTTTGTGTGATTCCCTCTGCCTGAAACACTGCTACCACTTCCTGCTCCTTGCCTGCTAACTTTCACCCTTCAAATCTAAGCTAAAACATTACTTTCTAAGGCTTCCTTGACTCATTAAACCACAAAAACAATTGCTGTTGAGTCAATTCTGACTCATGGTGATCCTATGTGTGTCAGAGTAGAACTGCACGCTGTAGGGTTTCCAGTGGCTGTAATCTTTAGGAAGTAGATGGCCAGGCTTTTCTTCTGAGGTGCGTCTGGGTGGATTTGCACTACCAATCCTTCAGTTAGTAGCCAAACAGTTCCTTGACTCCTTCCAGGACTCCTTCCTTAACTCCTCAGATGAAGTTAAATACTCTTGCTATTTATTCCTTACACTCTTCCTTGGATAATGCTCACCACACCTATTGTTACTGGGTTAATGTCTGTCTCTTCCACATACTACAAGTATCTGATTTGTCCACTGTCATCCAAGTGTTTGGCACTCAGTATATGCTCAATGAATGAAAGAATGTCACAGCCCTTGAATGATCTTTGGACCACGCTGCAGAAGACTTCTTGGCCTTACATTGCAGGACTCCTACAAACTCCACCTGCGGTTTTATTCCTGTCAGACACTCTCACAATACAAGCATTGCTTCTCTCCATTAGCCTTCGGACAATTCTGAAATGTATCACCTCCTTGAGCAGATCTGCATGTCATTTTCTGCCCTACCACTTCGTATTCTCACAAATATATCTAGGTACTAGAGTGGGAAAACATTATGTGTACTCTTGGAATTAAAACAAAAAAAAAAAAAAGGAGACCATTCATTAACTACCATAACCAATATTTATAAAAGTGAAGATTCCTTAAAGATATTTTCTAAAGGAAAACATGAAAAACTCACAAACTGCATTATCTGAATACTGGTCATGGACAGGAAAACATTCTTAAAATATTTTGAAAGCCTCTAGTTTTAAAGTATACAATACTATTTAATAACACTACAAGTACCTGTCACTTTACTGCTTTATGTATTCACCATTTACACCAAAGAGATTCTATGTGGCTTACTCAATTTCACAAATAAAGCTTCTTTTTTTTCTTTTTTTTTTTTTGGTTATATCATGAAGTTTAAAAAAAAAAAAAAAAAGATCCCAAGAAGGAGGTGTGTTATGTTGTGTGCCATGGAGTTGATTCTGACTCACAGTGACCCTATATGAGAGAGAACTGCCCCATAGAGTTTCCTAGGCTGGAGGTAGTGGGACATTAATTAAATTTTTAAAACAATCAAGAGATTGGGTAAGAGTCTCAGTTCTGCCAATGATTCTGGGTGACCCTGGATAAGTCTCTTCTTAAGTCTAAAATGAAGTGTTCAGTACAGACAATTCCTAAGATCCCTTTCAACGATAATATTTTGCTGCCAAATCAATTCACTCTGTTAATGATTTAATAAAGATGATGTTGGTGATTTACTGAAAACTGTAAAATTACAAGTATTCACAGAAAATCTGGTATTTGCCTATCAGTTTTAGGGCCTATGGAGGTTTAAATGAGTCTAAAACAAGGTTCTTCAAGGACCTAAAAACAAGTGTTTTAGAAAAGCTAGTTTTTCGTGATGAGGATGGCTTTTAGAATGTGAGTTTTTCCAGTCTGTTATTCTCCTCCCACATTTATTAGGCACCCACACTGGACTCGGAAGGTGCTCTGAAAAACTTCCATTAAAAGTCAATAAAACAGAATGGCTTTCACTGGAACTCCTTGAGTCCTAGAAGTGCTCTGGACCCTGACAAGGCGGCTCCAGAGAGAAGTGATCCAGCATCAGCCAACAGTACAAATGACTGTGCTACAACATGCAAAGACATCTGGGCTTGTCCAGCTCTTCAGATTAAGGACGGCCTAGTCTGGGCTTTCCATACCTCTAATAAAGGTTAGAAAGAGACGTAGCAAGCCCCTAAAGTGAACAAGCTGGAAGCGCCCCACGTGAGTCCTAGCAGCCCCACGCTCCCACTCTGAGAACCTACGGACCCTACGAGTTCCTGCCTGGCTTCTCCAAAGGCCCTGCCCACCTCTTCGCGCCCTTGCGGGCGGCTGCCCTGCCCCCGCAGTCGCCAGCCCGCCCTCACCTCCTCGAATTGCTCGCCCGAGCAGCCGGCGCCGCGAGCCTCCAGCAGCTCCCGGAACTGCTCCAGGGTGACGGACTCTTCGCCACGGCCCCGCCACTCTTCTAGCCAGCGCAACAGCGCGCCGTGGTGCCTCGACACCAGCGACTCACAGGGCGGGGTGGGCCGCAGCGCAGCG